ATTATATATTTGAGCCAAGAGGTCCATTACTTCCCCTAATCAATGCAGTTAGTTCTCCCTCCATGACTACTTGTATGTGTGTGAAATCATTTATTTTTATTTTATTCGACTTGTATCCTGTCCTCTCCACATAGCAGGCTCGGGGTGGGTTACATCAAATTTGACACCAATAAAATGCAACATTCATTCATGTGGATCAGCCACTATGAATCTTTGGGTTTCATGTATGTTTCATTCATTCATTCATTCATTCATTCATTTAGACTTATACCCCGCCCTCATTGGGTGGAATCTCTTTCTCTCCCATGTGCACACATGACAAGTAGACTGTTTTATTTTTAACCTTTGCAATCCACATAACATGTTCATGGTGTGTATTTTCTATTCATGGCAGAGATAAGGACAACTGTGCTGACTGAAGGGAGAACAGAAGGGAGGGGCTTATTTGCCCTCCTACAGAAAAAAATATAAACACCCACAGAAGTAATGAAGCCCTGTAGGCCAAGATAACACAATTTGTTCTAATTAAAACCTGTGCCTGGAAAAGCACATCCCAGAACTCTGCTACCTTAATTTATTTTGGCTTCTGTAATTTAATATTTTCTTTGATAGCCAGTTTGCTGCAACAGCATATGTACAAGAACAAAAAGCTCATGGTAAGAGCTCTTGTAGATCCTGTGGTTCACACTGAGAGCTGTTCTACATAGTCTGCAGAATCTGATGGAAGACTTTTGGACTGTTCCACTTCAGACTTGTGTTTTGAATGCTTCCTTATGTAAAAGAAAATTCCCACAAGTAGTGAATTGGTACATCAGGCATGTAGTTCTACTAAACATTTCTTTCTGAGTTTACTATGTGCATGAAATGTTTGTTCTTTTACCTGCAATCTGAAGTGATACTGTCCAGCAATTTACCACCTGCATTTATTGTAGATTGGCTCTTGCTAGCCCTCCAGAAGGCATCATTTTCTTACTAAATTACTAAATATCCTTTGAGACAAGTAGAGGAACAAAGGTTGGCATGAATGAATCTTATCTGTGAATTGCAGTTCTCATAGTGCTTTCAGAAATGACACATGCTCTCTTCTGAAATCTGCAGTGTAGTCTTATGTTGAGTTACCCCAGTCTAAGCCCCAGTTTAAAGGGTTTGGAGAAGAGTAACTCTGCATAGGATTGCACTGTAAAGTGAATTTTTGGGAATGGGGAATTAGGAATATGAAAACCTATGTTTGAATGTTAACAGTGTGGTTGGGATCCTTAGGGAGATGCATGAAATGCGAAATAGCACCTTTTGAAAGCTTGAGTTGTCTTTTGAGATGCTTCCTTAGGTTGTATGTTCTAACAGTCCACTTCTCAAAGTATTTATTGGCACAAGGTAGGTGTAAGTTTCCATGTGTATGTTTCTATATCCCCACAACCACATCATAGCCATTATAGAACCATACAACTGCAATAAAAACAGTCTCTGTGTGTATTGCACATTCATGAAAAGGACTCATTCTCATACATCACTGTAATGTGATTTGAGTTCCATGGCATGAATGGTGATGACTATACCAGATCAGAGACTTTTTGTATGTGCAGTTAGAGAACTGCAGAGGAACTGAGACTCTGAACAAGGTTTAGGTCTGATGATGAGTAGGGTGAAATTCAGATTGTTGAATTCATAGTTTTGTTTCTTGATGCTTGCAGAAGCCCTTCTCTGAGGGATTACATATGTGATTTCCTTTTTAGGATAAGTCATTCCTGTAGATGCTGTTTATTTATCAGGTGGAGCCGGATCAATAGGGGGAATAAAACTCCACAGGGATTGACATTAAAAAAGCTAATGGGAGGGTTGCATGATAGTGTGAAGACCTGTTAAAACTGAGCAGTTATATCTAACCCCTCTATACATATATATAATTTCTTGACTCCTTGGAAGCTGCATGCAGGATATTTTGGATAGCAATTGTGGGGTGGTGCTTATATTACATTCTTGTTTCTAAGCTAAACATAACAGAGTGGCATTTCCATCTTGGATATGTATGGGGGGGAGCGCAAATATTTTTACTACTTGCTATAAAATGTTTATCATCACCAGGCAATGAACAGTAATATGATGGCCTATGGTTAAAAATGAAGGGCCTCACATACACCCAGCACTGGAAATCTAGGACAGATCCAGGACATAAAGAAAGAATATTTAATTAGAATTCGGCAGATAGGACAAATGGCCCATGTAGACTGTTGGCATAACCAACTACGTTAGATACCACAACATGTGTTTGATATTTGGAAAATGTTACGTGATTAACAGTGCACGGCTGAGAACACTTTCCTGGGAGTAAGCCTCATTAAGTAGGCTTGAGTAGGATTTTAAGAATAATTGTTTAGGATTTCACTGTGCATAGGGTTATTAATATAACATTATTAATGTAGATTATTAATATAATATTGGTGTTGATGAGTTGTTTGATGTTAAAAATGGAAGACCTTTTCACATGTTATTAATCTACAAATTTAAACTCTGTACTTAATAATGTATAATGTGACTACAACAAACAGATGTTTGCAAGCAAACATATAACATAGATGCACTTGTCCAAGAAACAAAATATGCTGTGGCACATGGGGGAAAAAAAAACCCTTGGGTTGCTGCTATGTAATGTAAACAATGGGCTGGGCAGAGTTGTAGAGCTACTAATTCCTGTCTCTGCTATAGAGTTTTTCGCATGATACTGCTAAAGTCATTAATCATTTTGAGCTTCATTTGCCGGTATATGAAACAGATAGAACATTCCGGCCTTGCTTTACACAGTCATTAAGAGGCAAAATGTCTGAAAGTCTGTGTGATGCTGGGAGACTCTGGGTGGTGCGTTAAGGTGTTATAGTAAGGCCTTGTGCAAATGATCTGTCATCCATCCATCAGAAGCAAGTTTATGCTACTGCTAATCCCAGTCTGGTAGCAATAGTATAACAGATTTACAAATATCATGACATATGCATGGGTGTGTGCTGATGAAGAAGAAGAGTTGGTTTTTATACCCCACTTTTCTCTGCCCTAAGGATTCTCCAGGGGGCTTATAATTACCTTCCTGTAATCTCTCCCCACAACAGGCAACTTGTGAGGTAGGTGGGGCTGAGAGAGTTCTTCAAGAACTGTGATTGGCCCAAGGTCACCCAGCAGGCTTCATCTGGAGGAGTGGGGAATCAAACCCAATTCTCCAGATTAGAGTTCTCTGATCTTAACCACTACACCATGCTGGCTCTCATTTTGTATAATATGATGTATAATGCTGTATGCTGCAAAGTAAAAGCCTTTCCACTCCCTTTAAAGAAATTTGTTTATTTTATTTATTAATTTCTTTATCCTGCACTTTCTTCAAGGTAACTCGCATTATTACAAGATAATTTACATTATCTCCTTTACCTACACACCCAATTTTGTCTGAAATTGTTTGCTTCAGTGCCAGAGAAAGAGGACTATATTCCAGACATATTAAATTTGTGGAGCATTGTGAAAAAGCAGTCTCCCGCACACCTAATATTCTTTTTGAGGATGGGGACCTGTGGTCCAGAGATAGAGCATCTCCACCTCAAAGAATCCTCAGTAGAAAGGCCTCTTTCTGCCTGATACCCTGGAGAGCTCCTCTCAGACTGGACAGTGGTTGTCTTAGTAGAAGAAAGTATCATACTCATGTGTGTACTCATGTAATATATTTATGTAGTACAATGGAAAAGTGTTCCTCTTTTAACCAAGTAATATTTTTACCAACCCTTTAAACTGACTGTGCATGGAAGGACATAGTAGGGAAGTTTCTTGTCTTGGGGGATGCCATCAGCATTGACATCCACCACTACCAACAGATGACACATGCTGTGTCCAAAGGGATCTGTCGAGGATGGGCGAGTGGGCGTCAACATGGCAAATGGGGTTCAATGTGGCCAAGTGCAAAGTGATGCACATTGAAGCCAAAAATTCTAACTATAAATACACGTTGATGGGGTCTGAACTGGCAGAGACTGACCAAGAGAGAGATCTTGGAGTCATAGTAGATAACTTAATGAAAATGTCGAGACAGTGTGTGACTGCAATAAAAAAGGCCAACACTATGCTCGGGATTATTAGGAAGGGAATTGAAAACAAATCAGCTGGTATCATAATGCCCCTGTATAAATTGATGGTACGTCCTCATTTGGAATACTGTGTACAGTTCTGGTCACCACACCTTAAAAAGGATATTATAGCATTGGGGAAAGTGCAGAAAAGGGCAACTAGAATGATAAAAGGGTTGGAACACTTTCCCTATGAAGAAAGGTTAAAACGCTTGGGGTTCTTTAGCTTGGAGAAACAACAGCTAAGGGGTGACATGATCGAGGTTTATAAGATTATGCATGGGATAGAGCAGGTAGAGAAAGAAGTACTCTCCTCCCTTTCTCACAATACAAGAACTCATGAGCACTCAATGAAATTGCTGAGTAGTCGGGTTAGAATGGATAAAAAGAAGTATTTCTTCACCCAAAGAGTGATTAATACATGGAATTCATTGCCACAGGAGGTGGTGGCAGCTACGAGCATGGATGGCTTCAAGAGGGAATTAAATAAACATATGGAGCAGAAGTCCATCAGTGGCTATTAGCCATGAGGTATAGATAGGAACTCTCCGTCTGGGGCAAGTGATGCTCTGTATTCTTGGTGCCGGGGGGGGGGCAACAGTGGGAGGGCTTCTAGTGTCCTTGCCCCACTGCTGGACCTCCTGATGGCACCTGGTATTTTTGGCCACTGTGTGACAGAGTATTGGACTGGATGAGCCATTGGCCTGATCCAACATTGGCTTCTCTTATGTTCTTACGATTTTTGAAAAACGAAGTCATAACTCTGTGAGCTATATTGAATTCTTGGTTCACAGGTATGGGGTGCATTAGCTTGTGCCATCTAATTAATGCATAGCCTATTCCTTTCCCTTTTAAATGTTTTCTCAGCCATAATGAAAGACAGAACACTTTTATTCACCCTGTGACTGGCCAGATACCAGAAGAAAACAACCAATTTGATCTGCAAAAGTAGGTTTTCTCTCATTTTTCTGCCATTTGGGACATAGAATTGTGGTTTGACAAAGTTCAGAGGCCAACTGAAAGTTAGTAACATCCTATTTATTGCACAAATCCATCTCAAGAGATAACAGCAGGGATTTTCTATGAAGCAAAGGACAAGCAACTTCTGTGTATATAGGATAATTCACACAGTATAGATCCATATCCCATCAAAGCTGTTTGCATCATTGCTTTCAATGAATCTTGAATGAAGCATATATATTCTGTGTAATCTGCCTTGAGTCTTAATTAGAAAAGTGAACTATAAATAATGTAAATAAAATTTAAAAATTAAAATATGCATAAGGTTGTGCACACAGTGAAATTATAGGTAAGATGTACATGTGCTGGAACAACATCATTCAGTAATGCCCATCTCACCTTGTCTGTCTCCATTCTAGTTCTGCCTCGGACATGTCAAACAAAACAGGCAGCAAGCGGCCGGCACCAGTCAGGAGTGAATCTTCTAATCATACCACGGTTTCAGAAACTCCTCAGGAACGACCCAATGGCCGGGTATGTTTATTAGAGTAATATGGCCTCTTGTGGCCTTGATTCCTTTTTTTCTGTGTATAATGGGGACACCTGTACTCACCTGCCATTGTGGTTTGTGATATAGGACATTTTTTTTACAGTAAACATGAGTAGCTGCTATTTATTGTTTATTTATTAGAACATTTATATCCCACCTTTTATTGTGGCTCAAGGGAACTAACAATCTCTTGCTAAGAAGAGGGGAAAAACACAGCTAGGAGCTGGTTTAAATACAGCAGGAAAGATAAATAACATTTTCAGTTGGAGTTGCCTGGGAAAAAGTTATGTACACAAACCAATGCTTGCCTGTAACTAGAATTGGTTGTATTGTCTGGGGGAGTCTGCATTCACTTCTGTTTGTTTTGGGGGAAGACAGGTTCAATCTCCCTGTTTCCCAAAACTTTTTCTCTTTCATTTTCCCAAAGGCCTCACGCTCCTCCAGGAAGGGGATTGCATTTGGGAAACGCTCCAATTCCATGAAGAGGAATCCCAATGCTGCAGTGACCAAGAGTGGCTGGCTCTTCAAGCAGGTGAAACCCCCACCTTCCCCTGTGCTGCAATTTGACATCATTTTCTTCCCAAATATTCCCTTTCCTTTGAACATTACAACCCAGCCTGCATCTCGAAGATGGCTAAGGAAATGCTTCATGCAGGTCAATGCCATTTCTCCCTCTACCACATAATATTCCTTGCAATATTCCTTGCAGAATGAACTTTTGGGTACCCAGCAGTATCCATCCCTCCCAGCCTTTCCTCCTTCAAAGTCCCCATGTAAAAATCTAGTGTAAATTGAGCTGAATCCCATGTCCCACAGAGTTGTAATTGTAAGTACTGGGCAATGCTGTACCCATCTTGCACCTTGACAAGTTCTCCATGTGACTTCCAAGGTCCCATTGCCCTGTCTTCTCTGAAAGTCCCATGTTTATTTATTTAGGGAATTTATATGCCACCTCTCTGGAAAACTACTGGAGGTAGCTAAAGAATTACAATTTCCCCTAACTTCTGTAGGGATGTATATCAGTCATACCTTTTTCATGGGTAGTTTTTTGGAACTTCTCTGATTCTGTACTGTGAGCAGTGCTGTGTGTTATGATACAATATTCATTTTCCAATGTCTCTTTTCAGGCCAGCTCAGGGGTGAAGCAATGGAATAAGCGCTGGTTTGTGCTGGTGGATCGCTGCCTCTTCTACTACAAAGGTATGTGGCAGAACCCAGATCTGAAAACATTATGCAAAGGAATATTCACTAAAAGGAAGTTCAGGTGCCCATGAACAGTTCCAGACAAACTGAGGAATGTATGCTTTAGCTCTAATCAAGCACAACAGCTGGAGTGTTTCTATCTATTATTGGTCTCTGGGCCTCTCTTTCCCATGAGAGTAAAGCTACATTCTCTCAGCATTCTTCTGGCATTATACTCTCAAGCAGTATCTCCATATCCACATAACAGATGGAGGCAGGGTGATCCTTGGATGTACAGGAACATATGAACCTGCCTCCTACCACGTCACCCACCTTGTTCACATTGTCTACTCTGACTGGGAATGTTTTCCAGGTTTTTGGACAAAGAAAATGTTTTCAAACATCTGTGGCCTGAGATCTTTCATGAAATAGGGTTAAATAGTATTTGTGGCAGAAACATATGGGATGCTAGACTGGTTCAGACAGAAAGATGCCTATTGCAGTTTGAACATATTGGTCTGTCTATTCAAATATTGTCTATTCTGCTGGCGGCAGCACTCTAAGGATGTAGGCAGAGAAAAGGCTTGCTGTCCAAGATCCTTTAACTGGAGATGGAAAGGACTGAATCTGGAACTGGCAAACGCCTGCTCTCTTCCTTGCTGTTGGGGGATATCTGAACACAAAGACCTGTCTTGTACTGAGCCAGACCACTGGTCCATCTAGGTCACTATTGTCTACCCTGACCAATAGTGGGTCACCAGCATCTCAGATCGAGTTTGTTTGTTTTTTGCATCATCTACTGCCTGATCCTTTTAAAATCGGAGATGCTGACTTTTTGTTTGCCAAGCAGATGTTCTGCCGCTGAGCCATGACCTTTCCCTATTGCTACCCAATGAATGGCCAGTTTTTTTTTAACTTCTGAGAGAATATATTGGTCCAATTATAAAATAAAGATTGTGCTCATGGGGTGAAAATGGTGAACACACAGCCTCAGAAGAGAAAAGGAAAACAGAAATATATTTAGAATGGCATTCAAAGTGGTGCATGTAGATGTGAAGATATTATGTGGGTACCTCAATAGGTGCCTGTGATACTTGCACAAATTTCCACTGGCCATCCCGAAATATCACTTATTAGCAAGTTCATGGTTTGAGTGCTGGTTAACACATATTTCTATACAATGGGAGTATTCCTTGAAGTGATGTTATCTGGTTGTTTCAAAGATGGCCGTATAGTTACCTTTTGGGAGAACTCTTTCTCCTTGCCACTCACATGTATGCCCCTCCTTCTGTCTTTTCTTCTGGGACTATTCTGTAGTGATTCTCTTTCATGCTGGTCCACTTGTTCAGACTATCTCAGAATCAAATCCCAGCCAACAGTGTCAAGGCAATTTTTTGTGGAATCTGAAGGTTAGTTGCCCTTACTGACTTTTTGTATAGATGAAGAAGAGAAGAGATTGGATTCAGGGCCGGCTCACCCGCTAGGCGAACTAGACGTTCGGCTAGAGCGCAGGCCCTGGATCGGGGTGGCAAACTGCCGCCCTCACCCCCGCCGAGAGCCCCCTGCCCCCAAGCGAGTCCCGGGCACCGCAGCGCTCCTCCTCCACCTCCTCTTTCACCCCCGAGTCCAGCACCCAGTGCGCCCAGAAGCAGGTGGGGAAGGTAGCGAGGAGGGAGCGGGGCCACCCCACCCATGTCCATGCCTGTCTCAGGCACCCCGCCCTCCTCCTTTTCTTTCCTCACCAGAGGCCACAGGGGCGGAGGAGTGGGTCCTGGTGTGGGCTTGGCCGGAGAGAGGTGCACCCGCGGCACCCCCCCTCCAGCCCCCGGCCAAAGGGACTCGGCGCTGCCGCTGCTGCCAGCAGGAGCAGCAGCAGCAGGATGCCCGGCCGGGGCACAGGAGGTGGCGCCATAGCTCGCCCTCCCTCCCCCCCCTCTTTCCCAAACTCTTGAATGAGTGGGGTGCACGGAGGGGCTCCATCCACATGCGCCCTGGACCATGAAAGGAAAAAAAATAGGAGCAGGCCAAGCGGGGAAAGACCAGAGGAGAGGTCGGGAGCAGAGCGCGCAAGGCCGGGGGGAGGGGGAGGTTGGAGACAGCTCAGAATTAATTGGGGGGGGAGCGGCTTACAGAGCGGCTTACAGTCGGAGGAGGCTGCATGGTGGCGGCCAGCAGGGCACCCCCACTGCCGTCGGGGCCATGCAGCACGGAGGTGGGGCTGCAGCTCTGGGTGCACCTCCCTCCCTCCTCCCCCCCTTCGGTGGCGGCGGGGGGAGGAGGAGACAGTGGTGGTGGCAAAAGGGTCTCCAGGTCTCCAAGCCCCACTGGGAGGTTGGCATCTGCGCCTTGCCTAGGGCACAGAAACACCTCGAGCCAGCCCTGATTGGATTTATACCCTGCCCTTCACTCAGAGTCTCAGAGCGACTTACAAACTCCTTTCCCTTCCCCTCCCCACTACAGACACCCTGTGAGGTAGGTGGGGCGGAGAGAGCTCTGAGAAAAACTCAGAGTAACAGCTCTGACAGAACTATGGCTTGCCCAAGTTCATCCAGCAGCTGTGTGTGTGAAGGAGTGGGGAATCAAACCCAGTTCTCCCAGATTAGAGTCCGCACACTTAACCACTACACCAAACTAGAAGAGCTGCCTGTGGAAAAATGGGAAAAAATCACTAGGAGATGAAAACTGATTGTTTCTAGCAATGAAGTCTCCTGTTTTGTAATGTGCTGAGAGATCCCTGCACTAAGCAAATGGCCTTTGATATTCCCAATACAGCATTTTATAGCACTGAGTTCAAAGAGCTAGATAATGTACAGTGATCTAGGCTCGGTTGTTAGCAATTATGCATCTTTTTCTCCCTCTGCTTTGAGGTAAAATCTCAGACAGCCATGCAATTATGAGCTGTACAAAGGAATATGTGTAGCACATGTCGTCATGTCTCTGGTGGCCACGTTTGGGACAGCTGTACCCTTATTTGCCCGGAATCATCACCTGGATCTCTTACCCAATAAGTGTTTTTTATTTTGAACAATATATACAACAGTACATTCATAACATATATTGACGCTATGCAATAATCAACTTTCTCAACCCTTAAGAGCCCTTTTAAAAATATAACAGATCTGATTCTTTCTCTCAACAACCCCACAGAATAGGTTCCCTGCCGATGCTATAAGCATTCATTCTCTCCTTTTTCAAAATCTGTCA